CGTCTATTGCGACCAGCCTTATCGATCTGTACTGTCTTCGGAGGGGTGGCAGAGCTGCCTTCGAGCGATAATACGACGAGCACGGGGAGTTCCAGCTACAGAGCCCCGATTACCTACCTTCTCCGAACATCAGAGTCACGCGGGAAAGGAAATAACCAGACCTTGCTCTGCTCGCAGTCGGAGCCGCATCATTTATGGCCAGCCGCGCAGAGGGAAATCTTGTATGAACGACTTTTTCTGAGGTCTTGGCTTTCGAATTTCGCCCCCAACGTTGGAGATGCGCGACCTCTCCTACAGAAATTTGTCTCGGTAGACGGTTCCGTTTGGCACACTGGTGTCATGAGTGTCATGAATTATTTCTTCCTTGCTTCGCCAATCTCAATACAAATGTCTACAGAGCCCATTTCAGGCGGCCAATGTAGCTATGGGGTTGATACCATTTTCGATAAGGGGTGCGTTATGAAGCGAAACTCCAGCAGAAACGACATGTAGCATGGATATCAGCCAATTCCACCCAACGCCCTCGCAGAACACCCTTCGCTATCATACTGCGTATACATCCCGTTACTGGTATTGGAACTTCTGGTCACCTACGCCCGGGCGCTTGACCCCGTCGTCGACATATCCCGGCAGCGCCTCATCGGCACCGGCCGCACCTCCGGCGCCGGTCATGTGCGGCGGGCCGCCGTACTGGCTGCCTGTTCCGTGCGCGGCAGGATCGTGGACGTGCTGCCCGGCAATACCCTGCGTCTGACCCCCGACAGGCGTCTGGCCCGTCGTAATGGGACCGTGAGCGACCTGAGGCTCGGCCGGTACGGGTGCCGGCGGCGCAGGTTTGCTTCGGGCAGGGGCTGTTGGGTCTCCGCGACGCGCAGCGCATCGTAGAGGGCGCGCGAGCCGGCCATCCAGGCGCCAGTGGGGGGAACGTCGCCGCGCAGAATCTGCTCGACGCTAACCTGCTGCTGCTGGTAAAAGGCGGCGTTAGCCTCGCGGCGCTCGGTGATGATGGTACCGTCAACCTGGATGCCGGCGTAGAAGCCGCGCGACTTGACGTAGGTGAAGACGGGCTTGAAAGAACGGCTGCTGCTGCGGCGCTGGTTGCTGGGTTTCTCGCCAGGCTTCAATCCCTCGGCTTGCAGCTTCTCTTCCTCGGCCTTCTTCTGCGCGGCCTGCTCCTCGGCTAGTCGCTGCTGCTCATCCGACTTGCGGCCGCCACTGTACCCGGTACCGAAGTCGAGGACGCCCCCTGCACCGTAGGGACCAGCTGTGACGGCGACGTCGGGGCCGAGACTGACGCGGGTGCTCATAAAGGCCTTGAGGGCCTCCTGAGTATTGATGACGCATACGCAGTCGTAAATGTCGACGCCAATCATGAAGCCAGCGCCGAGGGCGTGGACCTGGATACCGGAGGGAGGCGACCACGAGCCATCAGCGCGGCGGGCGATGAGGACGCCAGAGCCGGTGGCGCCGGAGAACTGGAAGCCCACGCGCGCCGTCGTAAAGATGGCGAGGCCCTGTGCCTTGGCGATGACTTTGGAAGGGATCTTGACGATAGCGCCAGTCCGCTTGCGAGGCGCCTTTTCCTTTTCCTTGTTCTTGGGATCGACGGGTGTCGCCTCGTGCAAGGGCTTCTCCTCAACATGGTCGGAGGTGATACCCTCCTCTGTGTCTGGTCAGCAATTGCCATCAATGTGGTATAATGAGAGCAGACGTACTGCAGAAGCTCTTCAAGATCTGAGCGGCCTTCTCACACTCGCGGTCCATGGTGGTGGGAAGGAAGCTCTGAGAGCCCATCTTGTTGGCGAGGGCATTGATGGGGATGGCGGCCTTGCTGCCCATCTGAGCAAGCCTGTCGCCCCAGCTGCGATGGGGCTTCTTGCCATCCGCGGCAACAGCACCGGGCGCCGCGGACGATGGAGCGTTACTGGCGTAGGCAGGTGGCTGCTGGTGTTGGTGGTGGTGATCGCTCGAGGTGGCGGCAGCGGCGGCGGCGGCTTGGCCCGGAGGCGGCGCAAAGTGCGGCTGGGCGGGGTTGTAGGCGGGCACAGTCTTCTCGTCGTGAACGCCCTGCTGAGAGGGACGGGGTCCGGGCAGCGGCGGCGCGGGGCCTTCGTAGTCGTTGGAGGACTTGTAGAACTGGGAAGGGTTGGACGAGGCGGCGCTCAGGCCCGTGTCGGTGTGTGTGGGGGGAGGGCCGGGAGGCGGCGGAGGGAAGTAGGGCGCATTCTGCTGGGTTGTTTGAGAGGCGGGCACGGCGGCGCCCTTTTCCGTGGGCGCGGCGTGCTGCTCGTTGGAAGGGTAGGCGGGAGGAAGGTCAGACTGCTGGGGTTGCTGGGGTTGCTGGGGTTGCTGAGATGACTGGGTTGGCTGTCCAAAGCTCGCAGGGGGAAGGCCAGAGGCCGCTGGTGTCGGATAGTATGGCTCCTGGTTCTGGTCGGGGACCTGGCTCGAGAGGGGAGGCTTCTCGGGGTTAGAAGACATTGCGATCGTGGAGAAATCGGCCGAAGGATGAATGTGCTGCAGGTCAAAATGGGATGCTTGAAGATAAAACCAAGAACGAGGGTATCGTGGCAATTGGCAGTCAGAGGCGGGGTATCTTCGGATTGGTGTTGGCGGGGGAATATGCAGTTGCAGGCGATGATATGTAGGGAGAGCCAAGTCAGGAGGGGGGTCAAGACGAGCTGATGGTCTTATACTCTTGGTGAGGGAGAAATCAATGCGGGAGCCCACGCGGCGGCATACGAATCCACCAAAGCGAGAGCTGCAGATGGCCTGATCCTGGTGATGTGATGTTGCGGAATCCGGAAATCTGAGCTTCCATCTCAAGCTCGTGTCAGGCAGCGGCGGGAGGGAGGAGAGGGGCAGGAAGGAGGGGCGGAGGGGTGCGTTGGCAGGTGGATGTCACCGCGTGGCTCATGCGAACACATGCTGTGGCACAGCCCAGAAAAGACCCGCTTCTTCAGGGGGGCTGTGCAGTGCCTTGCAGCATGTTGCAGTGAAGAGCATCACAGCAAGGCACCTTCGTGCCTGGAGACGAGGCTGCTGGCGGAGCCTCTTCGCTTTCGCTCTCGCGATTCGCTGCTTCGCTTATTCACATCATCAGCCTCAGACTCTTTATCTCCTTCCCCCAACCAATTTCTTGTTTGCCTCCATTCCCCAGCCAATGACTTGTTTTGCTCAATCTTCTTCATCACGTTAGACATGTGATCAGCTTGGTAAAGATTTTGGCATTGTCATTAGGCTATTATCTAACGTTTGATCCAACAGACCAAACACGGCGAAACCGACTCTCCAAGACTCCCGTCCACCTCGCATCAGACTCGATGATTTACCATCCGAGCTTGAAGCCGCCGGGCAGCAGCCTCTGGAAGACGCGCATGGGGTCGTACTTGCGCGAGATGTCGAGCAGCTTCTTGGCGCTGGCGGCGCCGTAGCCGGGGAACACCTCCTGGAACGCGGCAGCCTCGCCCATGTAGTTGAAGGCATCGAAGAGACCGGCCGCCTTGGTCGCGTCGTTGATGGCCTTGGTCGTGCTCTCGACCCACTTGTTGACGGCGGCCTCGTACTTGGCCGAGCGCCACTCGACGACCTCGGCCCACGCCATGAGCGTGCCCTTCTTCTCGACGTCGATGCCGAGCGCGTTGCCGCCGGGGTTGGCGCGCGCCGACGCCGACTGCCACAGCGGCGTGATGGGCTGCCAGTTGATCGAGACGAGCACGAGGTCCGCGATCGGCACGGACGCGTACAGCGACGGCAGCTGGCTGATGAAGACGTCGTGCGAGATCTGGATGCCCTCGAGGAGCTCGTTGTAGTTCTTGCCCACGGTCGAGCCCGCGACGAAGACGTCGTTGATCTGGTCGACGACGAGGCCGCCGACCTCGACGGCAAAGTCGGCCACCGTCTTGAACGCGAGCGTGTTGGCAATGGCGGGGATGGCGAAGAACGGCTCGAAGCACGCGGGGCGCGTCTCCGTCTCGCTGTCGTAGAAGAGAATCGCCGAGCCCACACTGTTCTCGGCGTCCGAGGGCACCACCATGGGCACAATGTGCGACAGCGGGTCCGTGTTGAAGGCCGAGTAGTTGGCGATGGCCTGGAGGAACGCGTCAATGTGGTCGCCGCCCACCGTGTAGGCGCCGGCGAAGACGCGCTTCGAGGGGAACGTGCGCAGCGTGAACTTGGTCACGATGCCAAAGTTGTTGCTGCCGCCCTTGAGGGCCCAGAAGAGATCCGTGTTCTCCGACGCCGACGCCTTGACGACGCGACCGCTCGACAGGACGACCTCGTACTCGAGCACATTGTCGGCCGCCCAGCCGGCCTGGTTGCCGTAGAAGCTGACACCGCCAGCGAGGAGGAGACCAGGCACACCGACGGGGGCGAGACGACCGCCAGCGACGGCGACATCGTACTGCTCGAGGTACTTGTAGACGGCACCCCACTTGTATCCGGGACCGACCTGGACGGACTTGCGGTCCGAGGAGACGGCGAGGGTCGTGAGGTTGGACAGGACCATGAGGACACCGTCGTCGATGCTGTTGAAACCCTTGATGGCAGTGTGGGCGCCGCCGCGGACGGCGAACTTGGTCTGGGTCAGACGGCTGTTGAGGATGCCGGCGGACACGTCCTCGGCGTTGACGGGGCGGAAGATGCACTTAGGGTTCATGAGCTGCGTGTTGGACCAGAAGGCCTTGTTCTCGGCCTCGTAGACGGCGTCGCCCGGGTAGAACACCTTGGCCGGGTGCACGAGCTTGAGGGCCGCGCAGCCGAGGAAGGAGAGGGTGCGGGGACCGATGTCTGCCTCGCGCTCGTAGTGGACGGCGGGCGTGACACCGGCGAGGGCCGCCCGCGGCGGGCGTATCCCAGGACCATCAGAGACTTTCATGTTTCCGAGCATGTCTGCTGCTGTTGTTGCTGCTGCTGCTGCTTGTCGGTGGGGGGAATGCGGGAAGAAGAGGAGGGTGAGGCGCGAGACGCGGCTGGGACGATCGGAGCAAGCGTTTTGCTTTCAGTCAAGGGGGGGCAGATGATGGACCAAGGACGAGACAGGGAAGTTGAACTTGGGTGTCTTCACACGCTCACACACACACATTCTTTTTCCTGACGCATGGGAGAGGGCATCTCGGAACCTGGGG